ATATTCCTATTTATCTGGTCGAGCATTAGTCTATTAAACATAGAAAAAATATTTTGCCTTGTGTGGCCTGAAATATGTGTGTGTCATTTTCCATTTCAGAGTCAAAAAAGAATGGCAGGTCAGAATACAAGTGTTAAGCAACTGGAAAGCTATATGAATGTGGAACATATTTTTTAAGCAAGTTCTTTCGTTTGACACTTATTTTTTTCTGCTCCTTTTGTCTTGTCTATGCTATAAGCAAAGAAAATGACCACATGTTGGGACAATATCACAATCCACTTATAGACTGATACCTGGCTAGATAACAAATACAGCATGGTAAAACTAAACAGAGATAGAGACAGAGATTTAGGGGAGAGGCATGTTCTGTACTGTGCACCACATTCTGAAAGGCTTTCTTGACTCCCAGGGCATCAGGGAGTACACAGTCTGCAGCAGAGATTTCTCAATAGGAGGGCATCTTGGAGGAGCCAGATGCAAGCCAAGAGACTGGGTGACTCTTAACTATATCAACAAAAAGATGTTTAATCTGAAAATATTTCCACAATATGAAAAAAGTGACATGCATGATTATTATTGTTTAAATTTTCATTGAACAAAAAAATAACTCATTAAATTCATGATGATAATGATGATGATGATGATGATGATGATGATGATGATGATAATGACAAATGGCTAATAGTAAGCATTTACGATGTGCCAGGCACTATGCTAAGTTCTTTGCATGGATTATATTATTTAATAGAATGAGCCTATGGAGTAGGTTGTGATTCTGTTTCCATTTTATAGGTGAGAAAATTGAGCCTTGAGCAAGGTATATATCTTACCTAATGTTCCCTGCTAGTAAACAGCAGGGAACATTAATCCAGATCTGCCTAACTCCAAAACTCAAACTCCTAATTACAGCTAGAAGACAGAACCTTCTTTTCTCTCTTTCTTTCACTCTCAATCTCTCTATATCGTCATAATTTGAAATAAAGAACTGGAAATAATGAGATTTATACCAAAAGCTTTGATAATAATAGACATTTTATATTGCAGAGAAGACCAAACCTTTTTAGATAATAGGTTACATTATTTAACTCTATCTTATCTCCTTTTCATTTATCTTTCAACAATTAGCATTATAAATACATAACTTGGGGCGCCTGGGTGGCTCAGTTGGTTAAGTGACTGCCTTCAGCTCAAGTCATGATCCCAGAGTCCTGGGATCGAGTCCCACATCGGGCTCCCTGCTCTGCGGGGAGCCTGCTTCTCCCTCTCCCACTCCCCCTGCTTGTGTTCCCTCTCTCGCTGTGTCTCTCTCTGTCAAATAAATAAAATCTTTAAAAAAAAAATATATATATAAATACATAACTTGTAGGGTGACTGGGTGGCTCAGTCGATTAAGGATCTGAATCTTGATTTTGGCTTATGTCGTGATCTCAGGGTTGTGAGATCAAGTTCCCTGTCGGATTCCACACTCTCTGTGAAGTCTGCTTGAGATTCTCTCTCTCCCTCTCCCTCTGCCCTTCCCCCTGCTCATGCATGCGCATGCTTTCTCTCTCTCAAATAAATAAATAAAATCTTTAAAAAATAAATGCATAACTTATGGAATATTAAAGTTCAATTAAACGAGAGAATTACTGTTGTATTCATTTTTACACATTTTTCCATTTCTATTATAGTGTATATTTCAAATTCATTTCCTAAGATGTGATTTTTTTTTTTTCTCTTGAGTGCTCTCTTTTTAAATGATGGAGAAAGCATTTCCAGTACCTAACCCAAAATCATATACTGGTTTGATGATAGTAACACATTTCCAAAATTAAACACAGGGTTCTATCTATTTGTCTATCTATCTATCTATCATCTATCTATCATCTATCTATCCATCTATATCATTTAACTAAAACTTGTAAGAAAATTGCACTATAAATAAATAGAAATTTACATTAAAGTAAAAAACATATATGTATATTATTATTTTGATATTCTAATAATAAGAAATCAGACTGAACCAATTTATCTTATACTTATTGACTGCTAGGGGTATTTTGATGGCTGTAAAATTCAAAACATACCCTTGAGTAAAATTCAAAATATACCCGAGAGGAAATTGCAAATAAAAATTAACTTTTTTTGCTGTGTGGGAAAGAAATAATTCTAAAGTAAAAATGCTTTACTAAACTTGCCTTGGGATTTAGAATATTCTAGTAAATAGGGGAATCTTAAAGGAACATAAAACTTTCAACTCAATATCTTGTATTTTTTTAAGATTTTCTTTATTTATTTAGTTAACAGAGAGAGAGAGAGTGAGAGAGGGAACACAAGCAGGGGGAGTGGGAGAGAGAGAAGCAGGCTTCTGCTGAGCAGGGAGCCTGATGCGGAGCTCGATCCCAGGACCCTGGACTCATGACCTGAGCCAAAGGCAGATGCTTAATGACTGAGCCACCCAGGTGCCCCATCAACTCAATATCTTGAATGTGACATCTTTTCTCTTACAAGTAGCTCTGTTGATTTTCAGAGATTACTTGGTCCATTAGAACTGCATCATCTTTTAAAATACAGGACATGTACTTAAAAGAGGAAGAGTGTGTCACTTTAGAGGACATCTCAGGATATTTGTGTCCCTTTTAATCTGTGCTGCCTGATAAAACAGGCACAAAACTCAGCACTTGGTTCAACACCATTAGTAGCTCTAGCCCTTTGTGGTACCAAAGTACAAGAAGCATAAAATAGGCAGGACAAGCCTTCCTCAACTTTCAATTTTTCATGCTATTTCTCTTCTCTTCCATGAGATTTTAATGGACTAAAGTATGCCATGTGTAAAGAACTCATGATAAAATGAAGAGGCAGGAACTATATGATCGAAGTAGCTCCTGGAAGAGATGAGGGACAAGTCTTTCAGAATGTATCCTCTGAATGCAATTTAGCATGAAAAGTAGAAGTGTTTTTGCTATAATCTTTTTTAATAGTACAAAGAGATTTGTACTATAAAAAGTCTAAAAGGATTATTCATCCTAAATGGATTATTTATTTTCAAAATGAATATTTATAGAGAGCCTCTGAATTAGACAGTAATCTTTGCCTTTGTTTAAACACAATTAACAATATGCAAAATAAGGCAGTTCTTTTTGGAAAATATGTGAGCATAAGTACTAATATTGGCAGTCATTTCAATATCTGCATAGTGAGTACATAAAATGAGGAATGACTAACCTGTTATATTCTTAATTAGGGAACACCTGTACACAATGAAAGCATGGCTTATTTATGAATGCATGAAAATCTAACCAGGCAATTAATGTTCAATTTAAAATTCACACTACTGAAAAAGTAGCAGAAAGAACAACTTGTACTAAGCAAATCGTAAAAGCAGAAAAGTTAGATTTTCTGTGAATGCATCTTTCCCAACATATTTAGGCTATTTTATCTTTTATTTTCTTGGTTGCTTAATTTTTATATAGAAATAACTTGCACATTTTTTGTATAGTTATTCCCACTTAGTACAATAAATTAACCATTTGGTATTTTTCTCTCTCTCTCTCTCTTTTTTTTTTAAAGGATCAGACCTGGTGTGTTTTAGAGAAAGAATCAACTCTTTTTGTAGTTTATTTTAATTATTATAAGCTTTGTTCACTTTGTAAGAAGTCACAAATCACATTTTTTGGTCCAATTCTATAACTATAATACAAAATGGACAGTTAATTCTTAATCTTCTATGTATATGTATCTCTCACCTAGGTACTGGTGTGGGTAGGAGCATATGAAGGAAAAAAGAAATATTCCCTTTTAATCTTTCAACAAAAACATATGTAGTTCCAGTGCCAGACACTTTTCTAGGTGCTGAACACTAAAAAATTAGACATAAATCCTCATTCTCAGTGCACTTATATTCTAAGATTACTGAGATTCATTATATCATTGAGTGTAAAAATATTAAAATTTGTTTTTTCCCTCCCTGTATCTGCAATCTACCCCCTTTTCTCTGTTTTCAGATTATTTTCATCAACATTATTGACATTTGCATTTGCCTAAGCTAATGCCCTATTGAACACTTTTTAATATACAATTTATACAATTTTATAAGGACGTAAGAGTTAAATCTCAATAAAACTTTGTTCAAAGTAGTCAAACATTTTACTAAAATTTTTTCTTTATTTTTCTTTCTCCAGATGCTGGGCAAGATATATTTTTTTAAAGATTTTATTTATTTATTTGACAGAGAGAGAGACAGCGAGAGAGGGAACATAAGCAGGGGGGAGCTGGAGAGGGAGAAGCAGGCTCCCCGGTGAGCACAGAACCTGATGTGGGGCTCCATCCCAGGACGCTGGCATCATGACCTGAGCTGAAGGCAGACACTTAATGACTGAGCCACCCAGGTGCCCCTGGGCAAGATATTTTAAATTCTGTTTTTAAATAAAGCTGCTAATTCCCTTATGTGACTACTAGAAACATTTTAGAGATACTTCATTCCAAAAGGCCAGAAGGATGCTGTATTTTCCAAGTCAGGAAGCAGATGGATGTTTATTGTGCACATAGATGTCAAGCAGTAGGCAAGTTAAGATGATGTTTGCCTTTGCAGAGTATAATTTATACCAGGTCAGATAGTGAAGTGCAACATAAAGGGTTCTAAGGAAGTTCACTGCAATTACAGCTAATTGTTATCACTGGAGAAAAAGAGGGTGGTCCTATCTATTCTGAATTTTATGGAATTGCTATATTGAATGAATATATAATTAGAAAAAGAAACTGATTCAATTTCATGGTAACTTGAAGATGAGTACTAGGGTTGGGAGGAAATTGAAGCATCTAGATGCATTAGTGGGAAGAAGGAGAAAAAGATCTGAAAACAAAATGAATGAATTATTTTAAAGGAAATAATTTTATGATGCCTAGGTAAATGAATCATCAAAAATTATACTAAATAAAGCAAACAACCATGGTTAATTCAACTTGCTTTCAAAGTGATTAGAGGCACGCCAAATTGAATTCTAACTCTACAAAATTCTTACCTGCTTCATTTGTGCGGATCATTCGAGATGGGGTGCTTGGATCTCCAGTCCCAATTGGATTGGTGGCCACCACTCTAAATTCATATTCCACCCAAGGGTTAAGGTCCACTGCCATGGCTGACTCCATGTCCCCTGTTATGATTTCTGGGACTATGGTGCGGAAAGAGATTTCATGGCATTAGGAGGACTCAGAAATAGTTACAAACAGCAATCAAGGATATCACAGGTACTAACAGAATGAGCAGGTTGATGCATAATTCCTTATTACAATACACATGGTCATGGTGTCACCTCTGGTCTCATTAGTAAAATGAAAATAAATCTTCAGGAAGTAAGCACTTGCACATGTCAAAGATTGTTGTAGTTAATTAGAATTCTTTCATCTCATCTTTATACATAAATTGCTATAACAAAACTTGCCATTATGTACACTAAAAATCATTTTGTCAACCCCTCAGCCTCAAATAAGAGGGTAACTAAGTGCTATAATTTAAGCAAATAGTTCTTAAATTTCTAGGGAAATTTCTTGAGCAGTTTGCCTCTTGCAGTTCTGGCAAACATGCTTGGCCACTTGGCAGTTCAAAGCAGCAGATTAAGAATACTCCTCTTTAATTTAAAAACTCCGGTTTGTGGGATCTAAGCAGAAGCTCTGTACTCTTCTTGGAGTGACTTTTGTACAATATTTTGTTTTATTAAGGCATAAAATTGTCAATACAATTATCACAGAGCAAAATACTTCTTATATAGTATACATGCTCTAATCAGGACTGATTTTCTTGTTCACTCATCTCTGCTGTCTAGGAAATATTTCTGGAAGAACATTCTTTACAGGGGTGATAATAAGGAAAAGGGAGAACCTTTCTTATGATGTGCAAAGATCCTCTGGATTTATGTCAATCCTGGATTTTTGTTTAAGCATGGTTGAGTGGGGGAGGCTCTTGATTTGATGACTCAGTGCAGTTTTACCATGACAAGATAGAATTAAATGCATTTGGATTTTACATGAAAATCTTTTTTGAAATGTGTCAAGAGAATGTTACCAAATAATCAGCTCTGTGAAAGGTAAATGATCAGAGCATAGGCAGTGTGGGCTGCCTGACAAATCTCATAGCACTGAAAAGCTGATTTTTTTTTAAAGCAGTGAAATGAAGACCTGGAGAAAAGTCTGTCTCTTCTTGCTGCACTGGCAACTGAGCAATCTCCTTGGAGTCTAAGAGATAGGCGGACAAAGGCCACTGTCCAGTCCATAGCTTGGTGAAATGCTGAGTTGTGCCTGCCATACATAAAGGTAGGAAGAAGAGTTCCCCAGACACTTAGTAGCCCTCCCTAGCCCTTAATGTTCACTGTGTCATCAATACTTGTTTTGGTCCACTAAAGACATACCTCGCTGTTTAATTTACATCTGTCAGTCACCTCAATCAACTCCAGACATCTAGGTCATCCCTCATCCCTTTTATTCCAATCCCCATAGAATTCTGCACATTTCCTTTTCTGCCCTAGTTCCCATCCTTCCCTGCTCTGTGAAATCTTTTACTGTGACCTCTGGAATTTATAATCCATTATTAACACAATCCCCTGTATACTATTTTCTTTCCTGAACATTCTTCCAACATTTACTTTAATAGAAACCTGAATCCCTTATGAGGAAACTTTATGCCTCTTAAGGGGTGGCTCTCTTAAGATATTATAGAGAAGGGTAACCAGTCCATCTGGGTTGTATACACCCCTGCCCATGTCTCTAACATATTTTTTCCATTAGCATATAAGCAGGCAGGTATTTTGCCCTCCGAAAAAACAAAACAAAACAAAACTCTCTGAAAATTTCCTCTCCTTCTGGCCTTCATCCAGTTTCTATATAAAATTTTTCGAGTGTTGTTTGTGCTATTATTTGCTGTCTGTACTTATTTTCCTTCCATTTTCTCTTGAACTCACTCCAAACATAAAGGTGGGAAAAAGAGAGTCCACCTTTTAGGCTCTTACCTCCAGCATTCTACCATAACTGCTCCTGTCAAGATTACCAATGTTCTTTATTAATAAAACCCTATGCTTAGGTCTCTGTTGCTCATCTTTTTTGACCTAACACAATTCTTTGACATAGTCATTTTCTTTTCTTTGAAATATTTTTTAAAACTTCTGTTTTCTCTGACCTGACTATGCCTTATCAGTCTCCATTGCTGGTTTCTTTTCATCTTCCAGATGCACCCAGTTCTACTAACTCTTTGGTGATCTTATCTAGTCTCATGGCTTTAAATACCCTCTGTATGTCATGACACCAATATTTTCAGCCATGAACCACCTCCCTAGACTCCAAACTCATTTGTCCAATGGCTATTAGACATTTCTATTTGATAGGTTCTCAACCTTAAATTCCACCCCCTATTTCTGAACTATTCCTTATTGGGTGAATGATAATTGATGTTGTAGCCAAGATCTTGGGGTCATCATGGATTCCTTTCTTTTCCCCCTGTCTCACTTCAACGCATAAGCAAATTATAACATTGCTGACATCAAAATATGATTTCTTCACTTCATCTTTCAACAAAACTTCTTAAAAGAGTTGTCTATATTTTCTTTCATTCTCTCCTTTTTTTTGTAAATTGAATTTATATAGGGGGTGGAGCAAGATGGCGGAGGAGTAGGAGACCTGGATTTCGTCTCCTCTCAGGAATTCAGCTGGATAGGGATCAAACCATTCTGAACACCTACAAACTCAACAGGAGATTGAAGAAAAGAAGAGCAACAACTCTCTCATCAGAAAAGCGACCACTTTCTGGAAGGTAGGACATGCAGAGAAGTGAATCCGAGGCGATATTCGGGAGGATAGACGGCGGGGGAGGGGCCTCCGTCGGCCGCTTCTGGCAAGTGATAGAGCCGCGGAGCACAAAATCGGAATGTTTAAAAGTCTGCTCCGCTGAGGGACGTCACTCTGGTGGCTAAGCGGGGGGTGGAACCCTCCGGGACAGTGGGATCTCAGGACCCTCGGGGTCACAGAAAGACCGGGGGTGCCTGCGTGTGGCAGAGCTCCCAGGTATCGGAGCAGGGAAGCCGGCTGCAGAGGCGGAGCCCAGGCGCGGGCTCTCAGCTCCGGGTTGCCATTGACCGTGATCCGCGGCCCAGTCGGGCCCCTGCTCCTCCAGCAGGGACCCAACAAGCGGCAGATCCGGGGAGACTCACCTTCCTCCCCCGGGGGGAGCCGCGCGGGAGTGCACCGCAGGGATCTGCTGGGTTTGGAGACTCCACCCGGGGTCGGGTGGCAGAGATAGAAACGCAAGGTCACAGGCCGGGTGACCAAGGAGTGCGGCCGGAGACCAGGGAGACAGGAGTGACTGACGGCTTTTCTCTGGGGGCTCACTGAGAATCTCGGCTCCTCCGGGGCGGAGATTGGGAGGCCACCATTTTCACTCTCCGCCTCCAAAGCTGTACGGAAAGCTCGCAGGGAACAGAAGCCCGGAGAGCAAACCCGAGCAGATCACTTAGCTGGGAGGGGGCAAGGGCGGGGCAATTCCGCCTCCGGCAGAGACATTTGGAAACCACGGCAACAGGCCCCTCCCCAGAAGATCAGCGAGAACAGCCAGCCAAGACCAAGTTTACCGATCAATGAGAACGGCAGAACTCCAGCTCTAGGGGAATACTGCACATAGAATTCATGGCTTTTTTACCATGATTCTTTAGTCTTTCAAAGTTAATTTTTTTTAACTGTCTTTTTGTCTTTTTATTTCTTTTTGAATTTTTCTTTTTCCCTTTTTCAACCAACATCTTATCAATCCCTTTTTTTTAAAAAAAAAACATTTTTATTTTTCATTTTTAGAGTCATAGTCTATCCCTTCATAGTAGTTACCCATATTTTTGGCTTATATATATAAGTTGTTCTCTCTTTAAAATTTTGAGATAGTTTCTTCTAACAGATTAAAATATACCCTAAATCTCTAGTATATGGTGTTTTCTATTCCCCTGCCTGATCACATCCTCTCCCTTTTTTTTCTTTTTCTCTTTTCTTTCTTTAAATCCTCTTCTTTCTTTTTTCAAACAACTTCTTAGCAATTCCTTTTATAAAATTTTTTATAATTTCCATTTTTACAGTCATATTCCATTTCTTCATCATATCAACCCTTATTTTTGTACATATATAAGTTTTTCTTTCTTTAAAATTTTGGGAGGCACTTTCTTCTAAAAGACCAAAATACACCCCAAATCTAGTGTGTGGCACTGACCTATATACCATATAGATCATATTTAATCACATTCTGGTTTTTTTTTGTTGTTGTTGTTTTGTTTTGTTTGTTTTTGTTTTTATCTTTATCTTTTTCTTTTTCTTTTTTCTCTCTTTCCCTTTCTTATCCCACTGCTTCAGGCCTTTTCTGATTTGTTTAGAGTATATTTTCTGGGGACGTGGTTACTCTGCTAGCATTTTGTTCTCTCATTAATCTATTCTCCTCTGCACAAAATGACAAGACGGAAAAAATCACCCCAACTAAAAGAACAAGAGGTAGTACCGACTGCCAGGGACCTACTCAATACGGACATTAGTACGATGTCAGATCTAGAGTTCAGAATCATCACTTTAAAGATACTAGCTGGGCTTGAAAAAAATATGGAAGTTATTAGAGAAACCCTTTCTGGAGACGTAAAAGAGCTAAAATCCAACCAAGTAGAAATCAAAAAGGCTATTAATGAGGTGCAATCAAAAATGGGGGTGCTAAGTGCTAGAATAAATGAGGCAGAAGAGAGAATCAGTAATATAGAAGATGAAATGATGGAAAATAAAGAAGCTGAGAAAAGGAGAGATAAACAACTACTGGATCACGAGGGCAGAATTCCAGAGATAAGCGATACCATAAGACGAAACAACATTAGAATAATTGGGATCCCAGAAGAAGAAGAAAGAGAGAGAGGGCCAGAAGGTATAATGGAGCAAATTATAGCAGAGAACTTCCCTAATTTGGGGAAAGAAACAGGCATGAAAATCCAGGAAGCACAGAGAACCCCTCTCAAAATCAATAAAAATAGGTCAACTCCCTGACATCTAATAGTAAAACTTACGAGTCTCATAGACAAAGAGAAAATCCTGAAAGCAGCTCGGGAGAAGAGATATGTAACCTACAAGGGTAGAAACATTAGATTGGCAACAGACCTATCCACAGAGACCTGGC